ACTTGGACACATGTCAGAACAAGGAATGAAAGTCCTTGTGGAGCAAAAGTTACTTCCCGGCTTAACAAAGGTATCACTTCTTTTGTGTGAGCATTGTATAACAAGTAAGCAGCACCGGTTGAAATTCAACAAGTCAAATTCTAGAAGCAAAAGTGTTTTAGAATTGGTTCACTCTGACGTATGGCAAGCACCAGTTACATCCCTAGGCGGAGCAAAATACTTTGTCTCATTTATTGATGACTACTCCAGGAGATGTTGGGTGTACCCTATTAAGAAGAAGTCAGACGTGTTTTCAACTTTCAAAAACTTCAAAGCGCGGGTGGAACTTGATTCTGGAAATAAGATCAAGTGTTTCAGAACAGATAATGGAGGAGACTACACAAGCGAAGAATTTGATGACTTTTGCAAGAAAGAAGGCATCAAAAGACAGTTCACAGTGGCGAACACTCCTCAACAAAATGGAGTGGCAGAGCGGATGAACAGAACCTTGTTAGAAAGAACAAGAGCAATATTGAGGGACGCAGGCCTAGAAAAATCATTCTGGGCAGAAGCAGTCAATACCGCCTGTTATTTGGTGAATCGAGCTCCATCAACTGCAATAGAGATGAAGACACCAATGGAGATGTGGACTGATAAACCAATTGATTATTCAAACCTCCATGTATTTGGAAGTATTGTGTACGTGATGTACAACGCCCAAGAAATTTCAAAGCTGGATCCAAAATCCAGAAAATGCAAATTCTTTGGGTATGCTGATGGAGTAAAGGGGTATTGCTTGTGGGATCCCACTGCCCGCAAAGTGATCATTAGCAGGGATGTTATCTTTGTAGAAGATAAACTACAAAGAAAAGAAGACGATGATAGCGCTGAAAAGTCAAAGACTACTCAGATACATGTGGAAAAAGAGTTTGAAGAAGGAGATTCTTCTGAAGCAGAACCAACACATGATGAACAAGAACCAGAGAGTTCTGAAGCTCCAACAACTCGTCAATCAGATCGTGTGAGAAGACGTCCCAATTGGCACTCAGATTATGTTATAGAAGGTAATATTGCATACTGCCTTTTAACAGAGGACGGTGAGCCATCAACATACCAGGAGGCAATAAACAGCTCAGATGCTTCACTGTGGATGATGGCGATGCAAGAATAAATCGAAGCCCTTCATAAAAATAATACATGGGACCTTGTGCCACTACCACAAGGAAGGAAGCCAATTGGTAACAAATGGGTTTTCAAAATCAAGCGAAATGGTGACGATCAAGTGGAGAGGTATCGTGCAAGACTGGTGGTCAAAGGATATGCTCAGAAAGAAGGTATTGATTTCAATGAAATTTTTTCTCCTGTGGTTCGACTAACAACAGTTCGAGTAGTCTTGGCAATGTGTGCTACATTGAATTTACATTTGGAACAGCTAGATGTTAAAACAGCTTTTCTTCATGGAAATCTTGAAGAAGAGATTTATATGCTCCAGCCTGAAGGTTTTGAAGAAGATGAAAATAAGAACTTGGTTTGCAGGTTGAACAAATCTATGTACGGTCTAAAGCAGGCGCCGAGGTGTTGGTATAAGAGATTTGATTCCTTCATTATGTGCCTTGGATACAACAGACTTAATGCAGACCCTTGTACTTATTTCAAGAGGTCTGGTGATAACGATTTTGTTATATTGTTGTTGTATGTGGATGACATGTTGGTTGCAGAACCCAACAAAGATCATATTGAAGAATTGAAGACACAACTGGCTAGGGAATTTGAAATGAAGGACTTGGGATCAGCAAACAAGATTCTAGGGATGCAAATTCACCGAGACAGAAGTAATAGGAAGATTTGGCTTTCACAAAAGAATTACTTGAAGAAAATCTTGTCACGATTTAGCATGCATGATTGTAAGCTAATTTCTACCCCTCTTCCTATTAACTTCAAATTATTCTCCAATATGAGTCCTAGCAGTGAACAAGAGAGGATGGAGATGTCTCGAGTACCGTATGCATCAGCAGTAGGAAGTTTAATGTTCGCTATGATATGCACAAGACCAGACATTGCACAAGCAGTGGGAGTGGTTAGTCGGTACATGGCGAATCCAAGAAAAGAGCATTGGAATATTGTAAAGAGGATCCTAAGATACATCAAAGGGACCTCAAATATTGCATTATATTACGGAGGATCAAACTTACTAATCAATGGGTATGTAGATTCTGACTATGCAGGGGATTTGGATAAAAGCAAATCTACTACAGGATATGTATTCAAAGTTGCTGGTGGAGCTGTAAGCTGGGTTTAAAAATTGCAGTCAGTTGTGGCTACGTCCACAACAGAGGCAGAATATGTAGCAGCTACACAAGCCAGTAAAGAAGCAATTTGGTTGAAGATTCTATTGGAGGAGCTTGGGCACAATCAAGAGTATGTCTCTCAGTCAAAGCGCCTTGCATCTAGCAAGGAATCCAGCATTTCATTCAAGGACTAAGCACATACGAGTTCAGTACCATTTCATTCGTGAAAAGGTGAAAGAAGGAACGGTAGATATGCAGAAGATCCATACCAAAGACAACATAGCAGATTTCATGACGAAGGCAATCAATGCTGATAAATTTACCAGGTGTCGATCCTTCTGTGGCCTGTCGGAAACGTAAGCAACATGAAAGGTACAAGGTAGAAAAAATGGTGTGAAGATATGATTGTTCCAATCAAATCTTCAAGTGGGAGATTGTTGAAAATTGGCACACCAAATTGCATCAATTGTCAACATTATGGGTGGCAATTTGGTGGCGTTAATGGGGTGGCAAAATTGGTCAAATTTGGCCACCAAATTGTTGAAAATTTTGGATGGTAAAACTATGCAATTAGTCATTGTAATTTAGGGTATTTACAAATTAGTCTTTAAAGCTTCAACTATAAATACCCTAGCTCATTTAGCTTCAAAACCATCCCAAAGCATTCTAGCTTTCTTCTAATACTAGAGAGAATTTAGAGAGTTTCTTGAGAGTTGTTTTCTCCTTTTTTATCAAGAGAGAATTATCATTGTATTCTCCTTGGTAGATCGAGAGAGGTTGTAATTCCTATTTTTCTCATAGTGAAATTCTTCTACCGTTGTCCGTGGTTTTTACCCTATATTATTTAGGGGTTTTTCACTTAAATTTTGTGTCTCTTTTATCTTCATTTTTATTTTTTCAAATTATCAGTTGTGATTTTGCTCTATCAGATAGCCGTCTTCCGCAACATGAGATTGATTGATTGTGCTATACTTGACATACTATCCAAAAAGTCCTGAGATCCTCCTCCAAGCTTTTCTCCAATGGTTTTTCAACGGCCTTGAAGCTTTCCGAGCTAACAATCGGATCAGATTTCTTCTTTGTTTTGCGGAAAAACATACAGAAAATCACAATGCAAACAACCGAGATGAGGCCAACTCCCCCAAGAACACCAGCAAGTATATGTCCATGTTCTGTTTGTTCCACTCGGAGGAGAATTCGGTGGTGGTATAGCTGAAGGCGGCAGTGGCGGTGGTGGAGGTGACAGTACGATTCTAGACGGCGGATTCCGGAGGAACTAAAAGTGTAGTGTAGAAAAAAAATGGTGTCATCAGAAAGCTGATTAGCTTCACGAATCATATCAGGATCTGCTCCGAACAATTCACTAATACCATCAACATCATCACCTTCAGCAATAAGATAACTCAACAAATAGTTGATTCCAGCATCTGTTTGATTCCTTGTGGGACAAGCACATCGGAGAGGAACCGTAATTCTCATTCCCGGCGTCAAATTCCGGGACAGAATCCCGGGCTGCTGGTTCTGTATAGCTTGACAAGTTGAAAAAGCTTGAAATGTATTATTTGCAATCACAAAATAACCTTCTCCGCTCTGAACCGTGTAGCTTGTGTTCCTTTGATAATGGTCTCCAGAACATGAACAGTTGACCGGAACTATAACCAACTCGTTCGATGCGAACGTCGCCGTCTCGGAAACCTCGTTTATCCCTGCGATTTGCGACGGATTGGAAGACAAGAGATTGGAGATTGATGTAACGTTGTTGAACAAAGGTTGGGGATCTGAAAACAAGGTAACTTTGGTAGCTCCTGTTGACGCCATTGCAGGTGTATCCGAGAACAGAACCCGAAGTGTCCGGATTTTCGCAAGCCGTCGTCCTCTGTCCGACATAAGGCTGCTGAGCTTGAACCAAGAAACCGCAACAAAATACACAGATGGTCAGAAGAGAAAGGAGAGACGAAGAATCCATAGCCGAAGAAAAATTGGTGGGCAAAGGAAATATCTTGGCCATATCCAAAGCTTGGAACTTGAAAGCAAGTCTTCAGAGACGTAACATCCAAGTTATAAAATATTGATCTTGGAACCACGAAGTTGACTTTTCTTTTCATGAATGCCATACCATATTAACAATTAATTTGCATTTAAAAACGAAACTGATTGAATTCAAAAACCCATTCAAGGGTTGATCAAATCTCAATCTTTTTTCCCCTTTTGTTGCAATTTGCAGACATGCTAAAAGAACTCGCCGCCAGAAAAGTTCCACTCTTTCTATATTTTTTCTGAATTATTTTCAGAGGAGGTACCTAAACTATGATCCCGTTCTAAATTAATCACCAAATTTTAAAACATTCTATATCAATCTTCAAACTATCATTATCATTCCATTTTGATATTTCATTTCGATCTTTCCGTTAATGGATCATTAACTCTACTGGTTAAAAAAATTAATTTATTCATAGTTTGAAGATTGATACAAAACATCTTAAAATTCAAAGACCAATTTAAAATGAAGGTCATAGTTTAGGAATTAGATAGAATATTTTAAAATTTAAAGACTAAGTTAAAATGAGAGTTATAGTTTGTGACATCGTGCGCAATTGATAATTGAGAAAAATTCAACTTTACTTTTGCATCCACAATTCAACCAAGTCATATTCGGATCCGGATATTCGAGATATAATTCAAATTTGAATTCAGATGATAATATTCGGACTTAATGGAATAATAAAGAAATTCGGGAAAAAAGTTCATTCTCATTCAGAAGCTGTAAGAAAGAGCGGAAACAGAGAACAACGTTCCTTCTCCCTGTGATGCTTTTCAATTCTTTCTAAGTGGCAAGATACAACATTGTAAAGTATAGTATCCAAGCTATACTAAACCAGTAACTAAGACAATAACAACTACATTGACTATCCTCTAATGCTCCGGCTCCACGAATTTCAGTTAGTATAATTAAAGCCGTGATTATGAGACAGATGATGCCGGGTACCTTGTCATCTCGTAACCGATGGGCCAGCCAATTGGGTGCGATGACGAACAGGACGAAACGCGGAGCTGTTACAAATAGATAATCATTATCGGAAAAGAGACATAAAACATTTGTAGTCACAACCAGTTGATTTGTTTGAAATCTTGTTTTGAACCTGGACAGGTTTCGGGAAAATATAGATTCGAAGCGACGGCAAGAAATGCAACCCAGCAACCAAATTGCCCTCTGCATCATTACGTGAGAAGTTGTAGTGAAATGTAACTCACATTAAAACAGATACCAATCAACCAAGACAAGATCAATGTTGAAAATTGCCTAGTACCTTACGAGTTTAAGGAGTATGGTTGGGAAACTAGCGAAGAGAAATAATACTAGGAGGTTAGTCAGCATGTGCGATCTCCGTCCTGTTCGGTTCATGAGTAATAAAAATCTGTAGAGAAAGAAAAAAAAATAAACAAAATGATTCTTGAATAAGGAAACAGAGTAAACACAAGACTAAGCTTTTGTTCATACACAATCCGGGAAATGGCACTTTGATGGAACTAAAAGCCTTCATATGCAAAACAGAAATCACGGACAAAGAATATTTTCAATGAAGATGTCGTTCAAATATGTTCTTTCCAATGTATATTGCATTCATGATTTCCGACCACTAATCAAGACCTTTTCCTCAAGTATATACAAACATAAGAGAAAAAATGCAGATTTTATCACATACTACTTTCTTATCCAAGCATGTTCAAGGCATGCATGACAATAATTAAACGATGAAGGCAACAGATCTAACAACTATTTTCTGAGAGTATTTATAAGTTGTTTAGTTCCTCTGCAGTAAATAGTCTATTATCATGTTTGCTTATGTTATAGTTCTCCAGCTATAGTTCAGTTTATCATTTCTCGAGTTCTCTCGAGTCGAAATGGATTCAATGAACCATGACTCGTCTTTCTACTAAACCATTTCCCTCTGTTGCTGTCTACTCTATTTTTCTTGAAATATTAAAGCCCGAGACATATTCGGACATGCATATGGAAATACCCATTAGGAACATAAACCCGAATCAACACTCGGATTCAAGCAAAATAGCCATTTCCTACCATCTAAGCATCCCAAAAGCCTTCAAAACTCAACCCTTTTTATCTTACCTTGCTAGAATTTAAAACCTTAAAACACATCAAAAGGCAGCTGATTTGCAGCAACCCTATACAAGAAGGGCACCCCAATAGGGATCAACAGATTGCCAACATCACTAAAATTTACACTCATTTGACCCTTACTCAAAGATGAGTGTCGAATTTAACTACGATAGTGTATAATTGAAACTTTCTATAAGAAAATCCAGCAAACATAATTGATTCATTCAAAGTCACAAATGACTAGTGCAAAAGAAAATAATAATATAAACACACAGCAGTTTCACCGATTAACCTACATAATCATTCATCTCTGAAATTGGAAAGCGACCCAAAATGCGTTCTCATCGAAAATCGAAGAAAAACAAGTCATTTATATCAATCATAAAACAAAATTCAACATATTTGAACCATTCAAAGGAGAAGAAAGAAAAAAAAAAAGGAAGAACTGGGTTAACTTACAAAGCCAAAATGGTGCCACCCCATTGAAAAACGGCTCGAGCCTGTGTAGATCCTAAATCTGAATCTGCAAAACTTGAGTTCAGTTTCATCTTCATATCTGCCAATCCTAAACTAACCATTTTCTTTCCCTTTTTTTTGTCCCCTCTAGTTAAAAAAAAATACCGGAGGTCATCTTTATTTTAGTTTTTGAATTATTTTGATTATTTCTAACATTATTATCATTTGATTATTAAACTTTACATTATTCTAATTAATTTCATAATTCATAAACAATTTTAGGTTAACACTATTTTCATTTTGGGTAAATTATGCATTTAGTACCTAAACTATCAGTTTTGATTTATTTTAGTATATAAACTTTCAATTGTTTTAAAAATAATATCTAACATTTAGTTTTTGTTTCATTTTAGTATCCTATTGTTAAAAACTTAACGCATTTAGCACATAAACTTTTTATTTTTTTTAAAGTTTAACGTTAAATTTTGAATGAGGTACTAAAATAGAACGAAAACATTTTATCTACGAAGATTTTGGACATAACAATTTTATCTTGATTTGTAGGAGAAAAAAGCTGAAGCTAAAAAAACATTTATATACAAATTCGTCGATTTTGTGTTCGATTATTAAGTACACATTATTCATCCAAAATGCAATGCTTCAAGCCATAAGCCTTCCATTGGAAACAACTTCATCAACATCATTGATCCCTCGCCAATCAAATCATTATCAACCATCTTGCTGCAGGCTTTTCTTTTCCTTCCTACAAGTTTCTGCATTCGAGACTCCATCGGGTTTCTCCAGGCCAGCTAATACAGCACAGTACTATGTGCCTAAAGAAGGGCAAATCACGAATCCCTTTCCTTCGCATCGTTTCGTATATTTTAAGTCATTTATCAGCAGTCCCGGCGCGAAGTAGACGTCAACCGAAGCGGCGTAAGTAGCAACACATTGCTGATCATCGGACAGTGAATCGAAGATCCTTGCACCGCAAGTTGGCCTTGTGTTTGAACTTCGAACTTTACCGTAGTTTGATTCTTCGGTTTCCTACCACTTGGCTTCAGTTGAATTCTCCGTTTTTCAAAGACCAGATGTACAGAAAAAAAAACGAAACAATCAAGATTCACAAGCTTCTTATTCTTTTCCATTGCTTACCTTGATATTCCACTTCAGCTGAGATGGATCATGTTCTTGCTTCTGTTTCTCCCTATGGTGATCTCTTTATCATCATATGCATACAAGACACAAAATACCAGTACCATGTAAATAAACATTTCGATAGCATTAGAGCGGCATAAGCTTTGTCTCGAAAAACGTCACCAACGGATCAAACTCAAGAAGAAGCATCCATTCAAATTTATGGGGAATTTCATATGCCATAACAGCAAGAGACAGGAGAACAATTTTCTTTAGTTATCATCCTAGTAGAATTATATTTCCAACATTAAAAACTACTCACCTGCTTCTTTCTCTAAGCCTATTGGATCAAACACAACAAGAAGCATCAATTCAAGGCCAATTCAACCTTAATATAAACCAACAAGAATAAGAATTATCCAACAACAAAAAGAAAAAAAAAAGTTAGTTTTGCCTGTAAGCTATGTAATTGGCCAAGGCAACCAAAGGAGCAGCTTTCTCAGGATCAAATCCTTGAAGCAACTCCAACGAATCACTCCTCAACTTCTCTGCAAACTCCCTCGACTTCTCGATTCCGATCAACTTAGGATAAGTCAGTTTATCAGCCACCAAATCTTTGCCTGCAGTCTTCCCTAATTCCTTGGATGACTTTGTAACATCAAGAATATCATCCACAACCTGAAACAAAAGACCGATATACCGAGCGAATTTCCTCAACTTTTCGACATCTTCATCGCATCCGCCTCCGAGAATTGCCCCCAAAACCACAGCAGCTTCAAGCAAAGCAGCAGTTTTGTGAACATGAATGAATTCTAAACGATCCAACCCCACATCTGTTAGTCCCTCACTACATATATCCACAACTTGACCAGCCACCAACCCTTCAGCCCCAATGGATTTAGCTAATTCTCCAACTGCTCTCACTATCCTACCATGTGAAACACCAACTGTAGAAACGGCTACATTTTCGAAAGCATAAGCTAAAAGAGCATCCCCAGCTAAGACAGCGATATCCTCACCGAATACCTTGTGATTAGTCGGTTTTCCTCTACGAAGATCGTCGTTGTCCATGCAAGGAAGATCATCGTGGATTAGAGACATGGTGTGGATCATTTCAACAGCACAAGCAGCCGGCAAAGCCTTGGATTCTTGGCCGCCAACAAGCTCACAAGCAGCTAAACAGAGCACCGGACGGACCCTTTTGCCGCCCGCTAAAAGCGAGTAACGCATTGCTTCATAGATTTTAACCGGGTCACGGATTGGAACAGCCGAGTCCAGGGCCTGGTTAATCGTCGTTGCCTTTTGAATCATGTAGGATTTGAAATCAAAACTCGGGTTCTGAGGGTGCTGCTCTTCGTCCTTCACGGTGTCTCCTTTGGTAAAAACCGCTGAAACCGAAGGAACAGATGTAAAGCCGTGAGCTTTCAAGGTCGAAGACGACAGATTCATAAGGGGATTGAACGGAAACGAACTGGGAAAAAGAAAAGATTTGGATCTAGAAGCTTGGTTGAAAATCGAGTAAGATTGAACCCAAGAACCAAGATACACCGAAGCCATTGTTTTTTCACTTTGGGTGTTTGAAAGATAAGATCTTTCAAGCAATTCCCGCTATCGAAACACGAAAAAACTGGTTATGAAATCAAGCAGAAGGATGTTCGGTCAATAGAAAATGGTATAAAAACGACTAAAAATGGGGAAAGTGGGGGGAAACGGTAAGTTGATGGGCAGATAATATGCGAGTAGAAATGGATGAGCATTGAGCATTACGTGGAAATAGGAATAGAAATGGAAAGCGAACCCGACAAAGATAGCAAGTTTGGAGATTAGGTCTTCGTGTAACATTGCCATCCTCTGCAAATTCCAGCCGTATATGAATGGGAGGTTTATCCCATGCAAACCAGAGGTGCCCCAGAATTCTTTGCTAAGATTTGGATTGAACACGTTCGTTCGTTTTCGTTCTTCAAATGGTGCCTATATGTGCATTTTGATACCTGAACTTTGTTTTTATGTTCAAATTAATACTTATTTTTTAAGGGTAAAGTACACAAATGGCCCTTCAACTGTAGAATATTGTTTTATTGAGTCCTCTAACTATTAAAAGTTACACAATGATCCCTTAACTATAGGACGTTGCTTTTCTAAATCCCCAAATATTAAAAGTTACAAAATGGACACTCAACTATTGATTGTATTCCAAACTATCCTTTTTGTTAATAAATTGATGGTAGTTTGAGTTGTACATTAACTTATTGACTGTGATATGATAGTCATTTGAGATTTTGATCTCATATTATATCATATCTTAGTCAGCAGGTTAACGTCCAACCCCATCATTTTTTAATGGAAAAGGATGAGTTTGGAACATAAAGAATAATCAGATGATCATTTTGTAACTTTTAATATTCGGGCATTTAAAAAAACAACGTCCTATATTTAGGGGATCATTTTATAACTTTTACTAGTCAAAAGATTCAATAAAATAACACCCTATAATCAGGGGACCCTTATGCACTTTACCCTTTTTAATTAAGTGTTTAAATTTAATTTTAATATCTAAACTTTTTTAGTCTAATTAAACACATGAATTTGATTTCTTAGTACAAACTGATATATGAACTTAAATTTTGATCTCCTCTATCAATTTATGATTTAAAATAATATCACCTAACTCTTCATTTTAGTTCGGGACAACGTGAGGAGGATTCATGTCCCGTAAGAGATGTCGAAATGAGCTCAGTGAACTCGAGCTATAATGTGTTGGAATGACCTTGGTGTCCAGTCCCTCCAAAAAGTCAAATAGTATATACAGGGACAGATTTCATTAAGAGAAAATAATATCAGTGATTAAAAATGTCTTATAATATATGAATTTAACTAATTTTTTTTGAATTTGTCAAAATGACCAACAAATTCGTAACGCGATCTCAAATTTCGTAACCCAGTTCCCAATTTCGCAACGCGAATATGTAAATCGCATTTCGATTTTCTAAATTTCGCAACGCGAAAGTCAAATTCGCAACTGAATTTCAAATTCGCAACTGAATTTCAAATTCGCAATGCGAATTTAATTTCGCAACAGGTTTTAGTTTCACAACACAAATATTTTGGGTATATAACAACGCAGCAACAACAACTCATAACCTAAATCTCTAAATCGCAATTCATTTCATCTCCATCTATCACTCTTTCCGGCGACATCCGTTCTTATATCTAACGACATCCTTCCCCATCTCTATTTTTTTTACATAATTTTATTTCTATATAATTTTTCAATAATTTTTCTCCCAAATTATCAACTATCAACTTAATAAATGTATGTTTTTCTCTAAGTTAGTGATGATATCTAGTTTATAGCTCGTTTGTTTAGTAAATCAATTTACAATTTTTAGAATGAAATCATCTAATGTTGATCATGTTTGGATAGATTTGTGTTTTGGAGGGTCATGTGAGAATGTTCATGGTGTTTTACAATATGTGTCTTTACCCATGAATCTTCAACTAAAACTGTCATTAAAAAAGTTAACTTATGAAACTCTAATGTTATGTGTTGCAAAGAAATTGAATTTGGAAAATCGCAACGCGAAATTTGAAACTGGGTTGAGAAATTGGAATTCGCGTTGCGAATTTGTTGGTCATTTTGATAAATCCAAAAAAATTTAATTAAATTCGTATATTATAAGACATTTTTTATTTTTTATTACTGATGATATTTTCTCTTTCATTAATAATCGGAGAATGAGAAAAAGAAAACATCTTTAATTGGTAATTTGACCAAAAGGAGTTAGTGAATAGTTATGGAGGTTAAATTGTCTTGTTTAGATTTTTGGCTTTTCTATAAAAATAGACAAGCATGGCCACTCGAAATTTTAATAGAAAAGGGAAATTTTTGGAAGCACTTTTAACAAATTTGGAAGCTATTTTATGATAATTAGTAATCTTTGAGTATGATTATTATTGAAGCTTCCAACCTCAGAAGGAAACAGCAAGCTGGTAGATTGAAGCTTAGAGAGTGAGGTTGA